AATGCCTGAAATAAGATCTGTGGTGAACACAAGTTCAAGATATTTTCACATTTCATGCTACAACATAAACGTAAATCAGTAAAACCCCCTTGTGATGTTTTTACTTGTCTTGAAAATTGCTGTTGCTAATGTAACCCCTCTCTCCCGGGTCCTCACCGCCACACCTCGGTCTCGTTCCGAGTGGGTCTCTGGCATGGGAGGCGGACGCACTAACAAGGAGGCTAAAGACTGCAGCCCCAAGCTTCAGTCGCTAGTGCGTCTCTTAAGATCAGGGGAGTGAGGTTTCTACTCGCTGGCCTCCGTTACACTCACCCCCTAAACCTCACTCCCATCCGGGTCACGGCACCAATGTAACCCCTCTCTCCCGGGTCCTCACCGCCACACCTCGTTCTCGCTCCGAGTGGGTCTCTGGCATGGGAGGCGGACGCACTAACAAGGAGGCTAAAGACTGCAGCCCCAAGCTTCAGTCGCTAGTGCGTCTCTTAAGATCAGGGGAGTGAGGTTTCTACTCGCTGGCCTCGGCCTCCTTTACCCTCCCCCCCTAAACCTCACTCCCATCCGGGTCACGGCACCAATGTACCCCCTCTCTCCCGGGTCCTCACCGCCACACCTCGTTCTCGCTCCGAGTGGGTCTCGAACCCGGGTTTCCGGCAGTGAGGTTTACCTGCACAGCACCTACTCGCTGGCCTCCGTTACACTAACATGTGTCTAAATAGAAAATGGAAAAAAAATTTTTTTTTGTGAAGGAAACCGGGGTGATGTGATCTTCCGGTTGTCCAACAAAAATAGGTCATCACTGCAGTGCTCTATTATACCAGTCCTGACTGAGTGGATTCCTACTGCAATTACTGAATTTCACCTGCGAATATTCACCAAACAATGGTAGATGTGACCACACCTTCATTCTGGTGGCCATGCGTAGGCTACAATATAATAATATTATGAGATATTAAGATGATGAAAACAAGGTGTCTCTTAATTATGAGATACTACATTATAAGTAGGAGAAAGTAGGCTAATTCAAAAAAGAAAATCTGACATTCTGGCCTGGATGTTGTTGAGTTCATATGTTTAATTTCTTCTTGTGAAATTGTTTTGCATGTGGATGATTTTGAACGGCTTGGCTTTGTCATTAGTTCATTCTAAGAAGTCGGTATAGTCAAAGATGAGCCGAATATGAATGACACATTGACTACGGTGTGTTAGGTCTTATATAATAGAGTCGGGATGTTTGTTAATGTTAATGACAGTGTTTCCATGGTGAGGGTTTAAATCCTGCCTGCTGGCTGTGAATAGTGATTCTCCTCGCGCTGTTCTGACGACAAAAGATGCCGATGAAGATGATGGTGAGGATGAGGCATGTTTATGCGTGTCTTGTCTCACAGGTCACAGGGCTGCATCTCGACACCTAGTGGGCTGCCTAGCAACACAGCATCACCGGACATCACAGGTGCGCGCAGCTCAGCCCACATGTGCTGTCTAGGTAGGCAGCGCGCTAGGGTTTGAGACGGAGCCGGAGTCTCGTGTTTTTAACCTCTCGCATGCGTATCTGAGCAGCTGGATGCATGATCATTGTGCTGATCGCAGGTTTGACAGCAGCATCGCGAATCTCGCAGCACTGCAGCATGACCTTGGACGTGCAAATGGTGGCGGTGTTCACCGTGATCGCCATTCTGCTGCTGGTCAACGTGATTCTGATCTTATTCATGGGCTCCATCTAAAGGATCTTCAACATGACTGACACACAGTCGAACAGGCGCAAAGATCTGTGATTGTTTCTCGTCCTGGAAACATCTGAGGCTGTTTGACGGCTGCTCGTATCTGTGATTCTGCTCTTTACTGCGGCGGATATGGTAAAATGTACCTTACACTTACGTTGTGAAGTGTGTGCTCTTCACCGTCATCATTCAGTCCTATTGCATTATATAAGCTGATCCGTAGAATTATTGCACGGCGATTTGAACACATAGCATGACATGCTCTATGAAAGTATAGTGTTTGTGTGTATTGTGTGAATGATTTATAAACGTCCATTTAAAATGCTGGTGAATTAATATTCACGGCCAATGCTCTGAAAACATAAAATGTCAAATGTCATATAACAAGACTAGAATTGTGCTGGAATCACAATAACTGCAATCAAAACAGTCTGATAAGATATTTATGAACAGTTTATCAATGTAGTCTGCTGGCAAGTCTTTACAATATCTATACAACAGAATATATATATATATATATATATATATATATATATATATTATATCATTCTATA